TTCTTAAGTACTTCTAAGTTATAAAGTTTATATTTGATGAATAAAACAACAATAACATTATATTCTATTTATGTTGTTGTGTATAGAATAGACTAGTGTATAGTTTAATGACATATAATAGTAAGACATTGTTACATTGTATGATTGCTTCATTGTTTTTAAAAAATTGTGTTCGTTTCAAAATCCAAACTTTGACATGTTCGTAAAAAAATCTATGTTTTTAGGATATTTGTGAAATCTGAATCATTTTATTTTGAAGAATGTGAGAAAGAAATAAGATGGAAAGGGAGGATCAAAAAGAAATACACGTTTCCTTGCTGACGCTCCCTCTCTCTCCCATGAAGGATGATCTAGTCATTATTATAGAAAATATATAGACAATATCCTAGCCAATAGAAATAATAGTCATCTAGCTAATTATTAAATGTTTGATGGTTACTTTAGCTAAATTCCCCTATTTAATTTTGATAGCATATCTATCTTTTACTTTTAATAAATTTTTTTTTTTAATTATGTAATGAAAGAAGGAGGAGGAGGATCTTCTTTGGTGTTTTGTTATGATGGTTACATGGGAGTAGTGGTTGGAAATTTGGTGGTTGTCGGTGCCACCAAGATGATTTATTCTTTATTTCCACCTTATAAATTATTTATTAATTTCGTGACAAAAAAAAATGAAGAAGAAGACGAAATATGTATTTGATTCATTTATATATGGTTCTTTGGGTTTGGGTCTCTAAAGTTATGGGCTAATAATTTGAGCGTTGATGCGTATTCGAGAGACAGAATGTTAAATGGCAATTATGGTAATATTGCAGCTCAGGTTTTGGCTATTACAAACTTGCAACAAATGTGCAACAGTGGACACAGAATGAGAGAGTTGAAGAACATTTGTTGGTTCATTTTTGTATCCTATGATTTTTTTTGCCCATAATAACTATAGAAAAATCGTTCTAGTTTTCGAGTGCTATTTCCTTTGTTTCAATATTCAATGGCTTTTGTGTGTTAAAAAAACTCATCACTGTGATCAGTATAAGATTTGATATAAAACAAATTTTCAGTTAGTCTCTTAAGATTCTCGAAAGAAGTATCGGAACTAAAACTTTCATAATTCAAAATCTACGGGTTTACATGAGGTTTTTCGTCAAAGGCTATTATGAAAAAAGTGTGTTTAAATGTTCTAAAAAAATATATCGGCAAGTGTTAGAATAGCGAAGAGAGTCAAGATTTTTGTTAAAAGTGATTCTTTTACCATTGATTTATTATTCTATTACTCCCTCTGTTTTTAATAATTTTCACACAAATTAAAAAAAAAAATTAAAAGTCTTTTCTACCTTAAACTAACTAATTACAATTACTAGATTTTTACATCGCACGTTGCGCGAGATTTTATTTTTAACTGCTAACGATACGAAGAATTTAATATATATATGATAGTTTTGTTTTAAAAATCTATATATATATTTTAGCAAACAATATGTAACATAAATATTGATAATTTTTGTTATGAACCTCAATAATTATGAATTTCAATAAAGCGAAAAAGATCTCGGTTATCATCCCACAATCTTTTATCTTGGCGAAAGTTCTTTTCAAAGTCTCATTAGAACATCTCRCYYAAATTTTTAATGTTYACCAATGACTCAATCGTAAAAARTATTAGATGCATATGCGGACATGATGTAACACCACATTAAATGTGAATGTGCCAAACATGAACTATCATTTGCTTCAAAGGATGAACGAAATACTCATGATGTTACAATGAGTTTGGTGATAACGATTTATCCATCAAAGCAAATGTAACGTCCGATAAGATATATAATTTTCTATCCAATAATGAATTTCTCTATCTTACTTCACATATCACGTTTATATGATAAACTCGATTTTAAACATGGTAACCCGATCCAATAACCTACGTCATGTGTTTTATGAGAAGT